GTTTAGGGTTAGGGTTTTAGGGTTTAGGGTTTAGGGTTTAGGGTTTAGGGTTTAGGGTTTAGGGTTTAGGGTTTAGGGTTTAGGGCTTAGGGCACTTATAACCCCAAATATAACTGTACTTATAAGCCCCCTAAGTCCCCCAAGTAGGTCATAAGTAGGCTTAGACTTGGAGTTCTAAGTACCCATGAACCTCCACGTACGCCAGAGTGCACGGAGATGACGCGTTGCCGCCAAGCAGCACCACCATCGGGCTCGGTCAGCCGGCGCGTGTCCTGCTTTAAGGCGCTCTGAACCCTAAACCCTAAACCCTAGACCCTGAACCCTAAACCCTAAACCCCAAACCCCAGCCCTAAACCCTAAACCCTGAACTCTAGGCTCCGGGCTCCTAGAGTTCTACAGGGCGAACTTAGGGGTTTGGGGTCTTAGGGGTTCAGGGATTTTAGGCACTTTTTAGGGTTTAGGGCTGTAGGGTTTTAGGGCCTATCCCCCCCCGTTTAAAACCGCCCAAAGAGCTCATGAGAGCAGTCCTGCATGAAGCTCCGCGGCCCGCAGCTCATGTAAATAACGACCCGCACAGCACCTTTGCAGGCATCAACAAAGGGCAGTCTATAGCTTGGTAGCCCAGCATCCATATTGGAGCAACGGCACCCTTTTTGGGGCTGGCTGCTTTAACAGGGAACCTTGAACCACAAAAAGGGAAAAGGGGGTAAAACTGGGCTACCTAGATACTTGAAGTTTCATGGGTAGTTAAAAGTGTATAGGGCTATGAGTACTTTAATTCAGGCTCTAAAATAGGTCGCACTAAAACTCCAAACCCTTAACCCTAATGAAATGCTCTCCCTCCTTTCCCCCAGCCCCATTCCCCACTACCGTTAGAAGCATTCGAGGCAAGTGCTGAGCGCCCGGCTGCTTCGGATCTGCTGGGCTTCCTCTGTGAACCGGGCTTCGGGTGGGCATCTTCCCTGCTTCCTTGTTGGGGTTGCATTTAAAATGATCACCCTTTTTTATCTGTATTGTGACTTGAATATGACAAAAAATGTAAAATCACAACCAAAAAGAACCCGGTGATTCCGTTGAGAGCTTGGGGCTTAGGCTAGTTTAGGGGGAGCCGCGTGCTTTCTGGGGCCCAGCCCCCATTGACGGCTCCCTCCCTGGGCCAGCCCTGGCCTCTATTGTAACTGGGTGTTGCTGTAAAGCCCTTTGAAAATTATTTATGAATAGGTTCCCTTAAAAGGGAAAGCAGGGAAATTTACAATTATCCCAAAACAATACCCAGTGTAAACAACAGTCTAAGCAAGAGTGGGATCCCGTACCAAAGCAGCTTCTGGCCTACATCGACACGTGCACACACAGAGAGAATTGTGAAAAACCGCAAAAGCCTAAACCCTGCACCCGAACCCCTAAACCCTACACCCTAGACCCTAAACCCTAAACCCTAGACCCTAAACCCTAAACCCTAAACCCTAAACCCTGAACCCTGAACCCCAAACCCTACCGCCAGGGGCCACAGCGGCGCCTCGTCCCCGGAAGGGCGCCCGCTGCGCCAGCTCCGCGCCGCGAGCCCGGCGCGCGGGGGGTTCAGGATCAGCACCTCAGGGACTTGAGGAATTTAAGTTTTGGACATTTGGGGGATTTCGGGGACTGTATGGTGTAGGATTCTAGGAGTTTAGGGGTTTCAGGACTTTAGGGGTTTCAGGACTTTAGGGGTTCAGGGTTAAGGAATTTCGGCAAAACCGTCCACCCTAAATCCTAAACCCTAAACCCTAAACCCTAAACCCTAAACCCTAAACCTACACCCTACACCCTACACCCTGAACCTTAATCCGGAAGTTTCTTCTGTCCGCCCAAACCAGTGCAACATCCCGGCCTCGGCGGGCCCGTCCAGCGCTTCCACGTTTCGTAGCCTGGGTGTGATGTGCGTGCTGCAACCCCTGAACCCTAAACCCTAAACCCCAAACCCCAAACCCTAAACCCCAAACCCTAAACCCTAAACCCCAAACCCTAAACCCCAAACCCTCAACCCTAAGGCCCTAGGATGTTGCCCACTAGCTCCACTGACACATCGAGACGCCCCCACGCCGGGGAAGAGCCAGAACTGCTGCTAGGGGGCGCTGCGTGCAGGCTCAGAGGAGCAAACTCAGTACGCACAGTAGTGGGCCTCAGATGCAGCTGTACCAAGGCTACTTGGGGTTCAGGGTTGAGGGTTTAGGGTTTATAGTTTAGGGTTTAGGGTTTAGGGTTTAGGCTTGCCCATGTGTCGCTTCGCTGTGGCCCTTGCAGTAGAAGCGCAAGAACAGGTCGCACTCACCAAAGGCACTCCCCTCCCAACCCTAAACCCTAAACCCTAAATCCTAAACCCTAAACCCCAAACCCTAAACCTCAAACCCTAAACCCCTAAAGCCCCCACCCACATTTCGGGAAGATTACGATGGGGGGCCTAAGTAATCAGAAATAGGGTGTTGGGGGCAGGGGTTCATAGTATAAGTGTATCGGGACCATAAAGGAAAACCCTAAACCCTAAACCCTAAATACTGCTCGTAATTCTTCCGACCCCCCGTTTCCTTAAGCAGCGATGGGGCGGCCCGGAAGTTGCGAAGGGTGTAATTAGGGTTTAGGGCTCAGGGTGCAGGGTTCAGGGTTTAGGGTTTGGGGTTTGGGGTTTAGGGTTTAGGGTTTAAGGTTTAGGGTTTAGGGTTTGGGGTTTAGGGTTTAGGGGGTTGAGGAGTTGGGGGGTTGAGGAGTTCATCCCAAGGCGCCCTTGCAGGTCGGAAAAAATCCGGGACGCGTTGGCTTTGAACAGCGTCCCGCCCTCGGGGTTGATGTCCTTGGCTCAGGCTTCGGGGGGTTTAGGGCTTAGGGGCTTAGGGCTTAGGGCTTAGGGCTTAGGGTTTAGGGTTTAGGGTTTAGGGTTGCGGGTTTAGGGTTTAGGGCTTAGGGCTTAGGGTTTAGGGTTTAGGGTTTAGGGCTGATGTCCTTGTTTGAAGCTTAGGGGTGTAAGGGTTGAGGGGTTTAAGGCTTAGGATGGTTTAGGGTACAAGATGGACAGCAAAAGGGTTTAGGGTTTAGGGTTTAGGGTTTAGGGTTTAGGGTTTAGGGTTTAGGGTTTAGGGTTTAGGGTGTGTAGAAGGGAAGCTCGCTGGTGCTAAAAGCACCCGAGCCGCTCGCTTGCGTTAGCATGTAGTCCCACCCCAACCACCCAAACTATTCTCATTTAGGGTTTAGGGTTCACCCCCCAAACCCCCCTCAAGGGGGGCTTTCTTGCTTGTTACAGAGAAAGAGCAGGGTGGGGCCTCCCGAGCTTTGTGGAGCCTGTCAGTGGCTCGTAGGCTTCTTGGAGCTTTCACGGAGTAAAATGGAGGGGTGCCCAAAACCATCCTGTCAGCCTCTCAGGGGCCTTCTCATTCTCAGGGGCTTACCAGGGGCTTGTAGGGGCCTTCCAAGGCCTCCCAGGGGCCTCCCAGGCCTCTCAGCGCCTGCATGGTCGGAAAAGGGGCGGTTTTTGAGCAGGAGTTGCCTGGACGGGTCCCTGGAATCTGCCAGCCTGGGACCCCAGACCCCCACGATGGGGTACCCCCAGACCCCCCCAAAAGCACCAAAACTCGCCAACGCTGCAGAGTTTGGGGTTCTCATTATATTAGGGCTGATGCCCTAGGTCTGAGGCGTAGCCAGTCACTGCCGTCTCGTCTACCGGGAGGCTTTACCCTCCCTCACCGTTCTGTGGAGACGCTCGGTCGGGGACCTCGGTCGAAGCCTCGAGCGCCCATGCATATGGACAGCGGCGCTCTCGGCAGTTTAGGGTTTAGGGTTTAGGGTTTAGGGTTTAGGGTTTAGGGTTTAGGGTTTAGGGTTTAGGGTTTAGGGTTTAGGGTTTAGGGTTTAGGGTTTAGGGTTTAGGGTTTAGGGTTTAGGGTTCAGGGTTCAGGGTTTAACCAGAAGTTCACCAATACAGTAGCTGAAAGCACTGCCAACATCGTACGCCTTCCAGCCCCCCTATACATCTGATACAAACTACACAAATATGATATAAGCTACCCAAAACACCCGGTCTAAGAACACAAAGGCCTCTCTGTCGTTGTCAGTATGTGGCCAAAACACATGCTTGCGGCTTCCGGTAGTCGAGGCGCCTCTATCTAGAGATGCTCAACATGGAACCCCTAAACCCCAAACCCTCAACCATAAACCCTCAACCCTAAACCCTAAACCATAAACCCTCCCTCCACCGCCCCAAGGCTCTCTCGTTTCATCGAGCATACATGCCTTCCATTCGCTAACTTCAATCGGGGGGGGGGGGGGGGGAAGATTTTGGGGCGGGTGGATGCAACCCTAGGCCCTGAACCGAGCAATCGGAGATCCCTACAACTCCATCTCCTAAACCCTAAACCCTAAACTCTACTAAACCCGAAACCCTAAACCCTTAAACCCTAAGCCCTAAACCCTAAACTCTAAACCCTAAACCCTATTGCAGCTGGTCTCGGTGCTCAGGAGCGCCACACGGCCGAAGGCATTTGAAATCCTCATCTTTGGCAGCATGCAACCGGCTTGTAGGGCTTTGGCTTGTAGGCTTTACGGTTCCTCCCAAGACCCTATCCCTAAACCCTATATAAGCCCTAAACCCTAAACCCTAAACCCTCATGAACCCTAAACCCTAAACCCTAAATAACCCTAAACCCTAAACCCTAAACCCCGACTCTCCAAATCAGGACCAAAGGATGAATGAAGAGGAGCGTCGCCGCCGCATGCGCCAGGCTGAGGCCTATCGCACCAACACCTCTGCAAGCATTTTGGGAGTGTCGGGTTTAGGGTTTAGGGCCTGGGGTTTAGGGTTTCCGGCATTTTGTGAGTTTAGGGTTTAGGGCTTTGGGTTTGGGCTTAGGGCTTATGTTACCGATTTTGGGGCTCCCATACGAAGAATTCGCGTGTTTGGGGGACCATGAGGAGTACCCCTAGTTTAGCAGATGCCCTGTTTGGCAGCGAAAAGATATTCCATGCTTGACTCGATGGGCCGCAGCTGACAGGAGGCTGATCTGAGGGGAGGAGGCACCCTAAACCCTAAACCCTGAACTCCAGAAACATCCAGGGTCATGAACCCTGAACAGCCAGAGCTCCTAATCCGAAGTACTTTGGGCTTGTAGGGTTAGGGTTTTTATGTTTTAGGGTTTAGGGTTTAGGGTTTAGGGTTTAGGGTTTAGGGCTATGTAGGGTTCAGGGATAGGGTTCTGGTGAAGGCAGGGGGTGCTGGAATCTGCCAGGAAAGGATCCCCCCACCCCCGGTGGCCTCCGCACAGCTCGAGAAGGCGCAGCGTGCCCCGGCCCTCGGCGGGTTTAGGGTTTAGGGTTTAGGGTTTAGAGTTTAGGGTTTAGGGTTTAGGGTTTAGGGTTTAGGGTTTAGGGTTAAGGGTTTAGGGTTTAGGGTTTAGGGTTTTGGGGGTTTTGGGGGTTTTGGGGGTTTTGGGGGTTTTGGGGGTTTAGGGTTTAGGGTTTAGGGTTTAGGGTTTAGGGTTTAGGGTTTAGGGTTTAGGGTTTAGGGTTTAGGGTTTAGGGTTTAGGGTTTAGGGTTTAGGGTTTAGGGTTTAGGGTTTAGGGTTTGCTGCCGCTTTCTTGCCTTCGGGTTTCGTGGTGAACTGTAGGCCCTTCTGAAACCCAAACCCCTACACCCCTATATAAGCCCCTAAACCCCTCAACCCAAACCCGGAGGGTTTTGTTTAGGGGGTTAGGGGATGGAGCTTTGCACAAATCAGTAAGATCCTCCTGAATCCCACTTATCCCCTAAACCCTAAACGCTAAACCCCAAACCCCAAACCCCAAACCCTCAACCCTAAGCCCTAAGCCCTAAACCCTAAACTGTAAAGCCTAAGCCCTAAACCTTAAACCCCATAAACCCCCAAACCCTCAACCGAGCCGCGCCTCGCCGCCGAGGAATGCCGAAATCTCGTTCTGCAGCGCAGCCTGCGATGCTTGAGCTTGGTCCCTGAAGTCGCCTGCTCAGCTGGCGTGTAGTCTGACTCACCTCTGCTCTAAGAAGAATAAAACGATACCCTAAACCCTAAACCCTAAACCCTAAACCCGAAACCCTAAACCCTAAACCCTAAACCCTATCAGTGAGCACATCCTTTTAGGATAAGACCCTGCTTGCAGAGGCCGAAAATTTGCGCACTTTCGCCTTCATGTCACGGAGGATCTGCTCGTAGACGCCCATGTTTGCCTCGCAGAGGCCCTTTTTTTTGGGTTGTCTGCTATTTAAAATCTAGGGTTTAGGGTTTAAGGTTCAGGGTTTAGGGTTTAGGGTTTAGGGTTTAGGGTTTAGGGTTTAGGGTTCAGGGTTTAGGGTTTGGGGTGTAGATTTTTTGGGTTGAGGGCTTTGGGTTTAAGCTTTATGCTTCGTTGGTCTGGGATAACCACCCATGAAGTTGTGCTACGCAGAGTCGGAGTGCACGGTCAGTCTTGCTGGAAGCTTGAAGAAGAACCCTTCTCACCCTAAACTCTAGTTCTTGTTGCACATCTAAACACATCCAAGCCCAGCCGCACAAGCGAAATACTTACGTTGATATGTATGGACTAGTGACTAGTTGTACTCCAGGAGATTGGGCATATGACAGGTAGTTCAGAATCCCTACCCTCAACCCTAGCCCTAAACCCTAAACCCTAAACCCTAAACTCTAAACCCTAAACCCTATGCTGCTGGTCCCATCCATTGCTTGCCTGCTGGAAACTTTGAGCCCCGAAGACGAACGGCAAGCCGTCCAGAACTTCGCTCAGAGTGGCAACCACCATTCCTGCCGGTTCGGCTGCTTCTTATCTTCACGATTGTCAGCACTACTGTTCTTGTTACTATAACTCTTATGGTTTGTTCTTGTCAAGTTCTCGTTCTTCTTCGCAGCTCCTGATTCTTAGAGCAGGTGGGTGCCGGGGGGGGGGGGGCGCCTCTCCGTGAGCGCGGCCGACGCTGCTGCCAGGCATCTGGCCGCTTCGAACGCATCTCCTCCACTTGAACATTCGTGGTAGTCTTCTTGTTAGCCCAGTAACCACATTATGGTAAGGGCACCCTTTTTTGGGGTTGGCTATGTTATAAGGGAACCTTGAACCCCCAAAAAAGGGTAAAGGGGTACCACTGGGCGACCAAGCCTTTTGGGGTTGAGGGTTTAAAGGGCTGGGGGGTTTAGGAACCTGAGAAGGGCAGGGAGCCAATTTCAAAAGCAGGCGTCCGTCATACAGTGGCTGCACCCTAATCCCGAAAGCTCGAAACCCTAATCCCGAAAGCCGTAAACCCTAAGCCCTAAACCCTAAACCCTAAACCCTAAACCCTAAACCAGTGCGAGGCCCAGACCCTTCACTAGATTTCCCACTGGCAAACGCCTATACCCGAAAACCTCTAAACTCAAAACCCAATCCCTAAACCCTAAACCCTAAACCCTAAACCCTAAATTCCGCTTATGCCGCTGAAGAACCCCTACATGACCCCTGCACCTTGATTTCACCCTAATCCCCTAAACCCCGGAAAACTCCCTAAACCCCTAAGCCCTGAACCCTCTAAGCCTCTTATCCCTCATACGCCCAACCTGAACGATGCCCTAAACTCGAAAGCCCCCTAGAACCTAAGCCCCAACCCTAAACCCTAAACCCTAAACCCTAAACCCTAAACCCTAAACCCTAAACCCTAAACCCTAAACCCTAAACCCTAAACCCTAAACCCTAACCCTTGACCCTTGACCCTTGACCCTTGACCCTTGAGCCTAAGCCCCTGAACCCTCAACGCAGTGACTTGACCAAAAGCATCTCCCGCTGTAGGCTTGGGTCTGGCGCGCGCCAGTGCACCAAGATGGAGTGCCCTCGGTTTAGGGTTTAGGGCAGGGGAGTCCCAGAAACCCTCGACCTCAACCTCACTAAAAACACCTTAAACGAAAGCCCCAAAGCCCCAACGAACCCTAAGGCCTAAACCCAGAAGAGGCATCCAAACCTAGGCATCTCGTGTAGGAAACTACCTACCCGTAACCCCAATTCTAAGGCCGCTGCACACATCGCTCTCTGCGGCGTCCAGGGGCCATAGTCTTTCGATGAGGTCCTCCTGAAAACTTAAGGTTTCGGGGTTAGGGCTTAGGGTTTAGGGATTAGGGCTTAGGGCAGAGCCGCTATGCGGTACGGCTCAAAAGAGACAAGAGACCGCCCAACGCGAATTCGTACCCGCGGGTCTTGGTGGCTTTTTCTGGCCCACTCTTATCCGTAAATAATCGTACCCGGGGTCTTGGTGGCCTTTTCTGGCATACTCTTATCCGTAACAAATCACACCCCCGGGTCTTGGCGCACTCTTATCCGTAATAAATCGTACCCCGGCTCTTGGTGGCTTTTTCTGGCCCGTGTTCATCCGAATAAATCGTACAATTCTTAGCCGTATCGTACACGCGGGTCGTGGTGGCTCTTTCTGGCCCGCTCTTACCTGTAACAAACCGTACCCTGGGGTCTTCGTGGCTGTTTCTGGCCTACTCTTATACGTAACAAATCGTACCCCTGGGTCTTCATGGTTCTGAATGTCTGGCCCGTGACAAATCGTACCCCCGGGTCTTGGCGGCATTTTCTGGCCCTTTCTTTTCCGTAATAAATCGCACCCCCGCGTCTTGGTGGTATTTCCGGCCCATATTTATCCGTAGCAAATCGTCTCAGCGGGTTTTGTTTGGTGGCTTTTTCTGGCCCATTCTTATGCCCATTCTTATCCGTAACTTTTTCTGGCCCACTCTTATCCGTAACAAATCATACTCCGGGTCTTCGTGGCGCTGTCTGGCTCCCACTTATCCGTACCAAATCGCACCCCCCTCTTTTGGTGGCTTTTTTCTAGCCCATGTTTATCCGTAGGAATTAGTAGCCCCAGGTCTTGCTGGCTCTTGCTGGTCACGGGAGCAGGGCACAAAAAGCCACTACGACAAGAGGGTACGATTTGTTTCGGATAAGAATGGGCCCAAAGACCCGGGGTACGATTTGTTACGGCTAAACATTGGCCAGAAAAAGCCACCAAGACGTGGGGGTGCGAATTGTTACAGATAAGAGACTCATTATGCATGAGAGTGGGCCAGAAACGATTTGTTATGAAAAAGAGTGCGCCAGAAAGAGCCACCAAGACTCGGGGGTACCATTTATTTCGGAGAAGACTGGACCAGAAAAAGCCACGAAAACACAGCAGATATGATTAGGCAAAAAGCCACCAAATGGGCCAGAAACAGACACCAAGAACCGAGGTATAGGGTTTAGGGTTTAGGGTTTAGGGTTTAGGGTTTAGGGTTTAGGGTTTAAGTTTGACTGCTGAAGCTGGGGGGAGGGGGGGTGAAATGGGCCTGCATGCACCGCATGCATGCTGCTTCACTCCACTCACCCTTTGAAAACACCTGTAGGACCTAAAGCCTGCACTCAAATCCCAAAACCCAAAACCCTGAGCCAAAAACACTGAACCTAAGCCCTAAACCCTAAACCCTAAACCCTAAACCGTAAACCCTAAACCCTAAACCCTAAACCCTGAACCCTAAACCCTAAACTCTAAACCCCAAAAACCCTAAACCCTTTCAGAGGGTCTCCAGAGCCGGCGCAGGGGAACCGCGCTCGCCGTTCCAGAGCAGCACGAGCTGCACCAGGCCTCCGGAAAAGGGCTTTTAGGGTTTAGGGTTCAGGGTTTAGGGTTCAGGGTTCAGGGTTTGGGGGTTTAGGGTTTAGGGTTTTGGGTTCAGGGTTTAGGGTTCTAGGGTTTTAGGGTTAGGGTTTGGGGTTTTTCGGTTTCGGGTCTCGGGGTTTTTGGTTCTGGGGGTTAAGGGTTGAGGGTTGCTTGGGTGGTTTTGGTTTGGGGGCTTGGGAAGCCACAAGCCCGAATGCAGACTCGCGTCACGAGCCGAGGACCCGGGTGACATGACACGAAGACGCAACCCGAGGACGCGACATCTCGCCTTGCCGAATTTACCTGGAGAGGCCTGACAGGGATTAGGGTTTAGGGCTTAGGTTCAGGGTTTAGGGCTTAGGGTTTAGGGTTTAGGGTTTAGGGTTTAGGGTTTAGGGTTTAGGGTTTTAGGGTTTTAGGGTTTAGGGTTTAGGGCCTGTCTGCCGCTCAGCTGTGAGCTCCACATAGCGGAGGGCCGGCGCAGTGATTCCTGAGACAAAGAGAGGCTGCGAGGGATCCGGGAACTCCTGATGCCCCCCCCCCCCACCTCTCCCTCCGAAACTCCTCAAACCCTATGAACCCTAAACTCCCTAAACTCCCTAAATCTCGCCAAAATCTCCCCTAAACTCCCTAGACCCCCTAAACTTCCAAAATCTCCCCTAAACTCCCCTAAACTCCCTAAACTCTCCCCTAAAACTCCACAAAACCCAAACTCTAAACTCCCTCTCAACCCTCATCTTCCTAAACTCCCTAAACCCTAAACCCTAAACCCTAAGCCCTAAACCCTAAACCCTAAACCCTGATACCGCCGGGGCGCGCCAGCTCTCCTCCGCCGCGTGGTCGAAGGGCTGCACCTTAGGGGGCTCAGGGAAGGAAATTTCGAGGGGGGGGCTTAGGGTTTAGGGTTTGGGGTTTGGGGTTTAGGGTTTAGGGTTTCGGGTTTAGGGTTTCGGGTTTAGGGTTTCGAGAGGAGGCATCAACCCCCATCAGTAATGAAAAAAGGAAATATGGGCTTGAAGGGCAAGCAACTGCCAGTAGCTTTGCGCAAGGCAGGGCCGTGGCAGGACACGCCTAACAGCCAAACAGCCAATTTGCACTGATTCTCTGAGTGCCACGCGCCCGGCAGCGCAGCCAACGCGTCTTCGAGAAGGCCCAGGGCTCTGTCCTTAAGCTTTCGGCGCTTCTGGTTTTTCTGGCATTTGGTAAGTTTTCTACATTAGGCTCCCTTTGGGGTCCTTGTTATAAGGGCGGCCCCTCTTATGTAGGGTACCCAAAAGGGACCCTAATTTTGAGAACTGACCAGTAAAGACGGTGGCTGCTATGAAAGTTTTGTCCAGCCCTTGCAGAGCAGGCTGCGGGCCAGCGCTGTCAAGGTAAACCAGGTCTCAAGACGTGTTCAGGCCTGTTTCCGAGATCAAGGATCTTGCTTTGGAAACCACGCGAAGGGGATCGGATTCGTACAGCGTGGCTGTACTTACGATCTGTTGCCCTTCATCCTGTGGGTGCATTCCCACCGCGTAGCGGCTCCTGATCAAATTCTTGGTGCAATACCCTACTTCATACAGCAACTTTATAGTGCCCGTTTCGTCACAACGACGGCCGCTAAATAAGGAGGTTCCCAGTTGTAGGAGGAAGATGCCCCCCTCCAAACCTGTGCGTCAACTTCAGAGCCTCACAGCACATGCCTCCCACATCCCTGAACTATAAAGAATCGGCCCCTCTGAGAATTCTATAAGAACATATATGTGGATCTATAGATATATATATATATATACATATATATATATGTGTGCACATGTACACAAGTGTAATGCACATACTTGGTGTAATGATCTATCAACCGATCCCCGACCTTATCCACCACCAAGCAACTAAATCTCAACAGGGAAAAACTTAACATCATATCAGATTGTTCCCAGTGAATGCCCTCAGCCCCCGAAATGCTAACCCCCGAAACCCTAAACCCTTAAACCCGAAGCAGCCTGGTGCTGTCCGGAACTCTGCCTGGCGGCCGAGGCAAACCTACTTGCAGGACCCGAAGCAGGATCTGGAGTCCGGAAACGCCCGCCCATGGCGCGTTCTGTGACCCCAGCCCCACCCGCCAACGGAAAAATGACCAAAGCCAAGTCATGTTGCCCCGAGCTGCATTCTTGCTGCAGGCCCAGTGCGTTTTGGAGGTTTTGGGGCGTGGCCTTCTGCACGACCCTCCGCCCCAAACCCCATCCAAACCCAACCTGAAGGTTTATTAGGTAGTTCTACACGGGGGGGTAAAAGCTGATTAAGGTTCCAGCATGGGTTGCTCATAGGTAACTACCCATGAACCTTCAAGTAGTACGTAGCCCTAA